GTGTTAATCTGTTATGCGAGGGCCCTTGTGAAGATAGCAGATCTTAGCTTTGAAATACTAAGGACCACAGGAATGAAGATGTAATTACCACGATCTGCTATCCCCAGGGCTCCCTAGAGCTAGTGCCAACACCTCAATACCAAAGGGGCTGAGAAGGGGGAGAGGTATGGGAGGACAGGCGCCCCTGCACCTGGTGGGCCCCCAGAAGCAGTGACCAGGGAGTGTGAATGAGGAGGGGATAGGAAGGTCTTCTGCATGGACTCACTGGGCCAGGGTCTTTGCCACACACAGACCCTGCCCCCTGGGGTGAGGCCTGGGCAGCCCTGGTGGTCTGGCTCACACAAGATTAGAGAACAGATCCGCTGGGGCAAAGCAGGGCCCAGTGCCGGAGCTGCTTCTGATGGCGGGGCCGGGGGACTGGCTGCTTGTGGAGTCTGGAGCAGGGGTTCAGGTGCAGACTGAGTCTTGAGGGGTTTTCTGACCTTGAGCTGCAAAGGAGCAGGGAGCCAACCCCCTTTTACAGACAAGGAAACTGAGGCTTGGAACAGGATGTGACAAAAGGAATACAGGACCAACAGAATCAAGTACCAGGTGGACTGCCCCACGTAGACACCGGTGGGTCTGTTTTTGTCTGTTTCCCCTCTGCTGGGATGGAGAATGAAGGGTCAGGGAGGGACCTGAGAATTCAGCATTCAGAGAAGCTAAGAAACTTGCCCGAGGTCACACAGGGAGTCAGCCAGGACCGAGGCCCGCCCTCCCCCGGCCTTGGTCCTTGACTGCTGACTGTGGGGGCTGGTTGGAGTGGGTTTGGGGATCAGAGTGTCCAAGAAGGGCAATGAGGAGTGGTCCGTTTTCCCACCCAGGAGCCTTTCCCTCTCCTATAACTCCCCAGAAGATGGGAACTTGGGCTGGTCCCGAGCACCTGGCCCTCCTCTGGTCTCTAGCACCCCCTTGTGGCCTCCCAGGGCATAAACCCTACCGTGGGCCCGCCCCCAAAAGGAGGGCCCAGAATGCTACAGGTGAGAAACCGGAGGGCTCAACCACACAATCCCAGCCCCCCTCCCAAAAGACACAGGGCATTGAAATTTAAATCTTGGTAGTAATAATAATAATAATAATAATAATAATAAATAATCCTGGCTCCCTTCCCCCACCTGGCTTGGGTAGGGAGAGAGCCTGTATGTCTTGGTCCCCCAGGGACAGGTCTCGGAGGAGAGCAAATGGGAGAGACCTGTGGGGAAGCCCCGGGCTGCTAGGGATGCTTACTTCAGCTCCAAGGACGTCAGAGTGCCTCCTCCCTCAAGGCTCGCAACCTGACCCAGAAGACTCCAGAAGGTCTCCCCTCCTGAGGGAGGAGGCAAACCCGCCCAAAAGATCTTTTTTAATAGAAGAATTTGTTATTTAAAGCCGCTAAAAACCCCACCCTTCGATCCCTCCTCTTGGACAGACCCACAGTCCTGTGGTTTCTGGTCCAGCCCAGCTGGAGACAGCTGGGCAGAAATCAGAAATACCACTGGATAAGCCAACCCCTCCCTCTCCCGATCTCCTCCAGCCCCGTTCAGGCTTCTCCTTGGCCTTTAAGTTCCAGGCCGGCCCAAGGCCCTGCTCCACCCAGGGCTTGAGAGCCTGTGGTGGCCTGCTCTCCCTCCCCGCCCCCCACAGGCGTGCATCTCCTAAACTCTAGGGACCCCGGAGACCTGCCCTCAGGGAAGCAATGGCCAGCGGCAGCTTGTCTCTTACTAACTCCCTGCACCTGGCCCCAAGGCTCCCTTTTCGCTGGCTTCTCAGTGAGCCAAAGCAGCCCTGCTAGGCCTTCCTGTTGCTGCTCCTGTGCTAAGCTCTTCCATGTTTCCCAGTCGCCGGCTTTAATAAAAGTACACACACACACACACACACCCCAGAGCCTATGGGGGAGTCGCCGGCTCAGCCCCACTGCAGGGTTCAGCTAAGGGTCCCCTCATCCTCGGCCTCTCAATGCATTTTGTCCTTCCCGAGTCTCAGTGTGTCCATCTGCCAAATGGGTGTGACCATTCCTGCCTCACATACCTGTCTCCCAGGTGGCTGTACCGATACGAATAAAATGAAAGCAGAAACTGGCGAGTTTTTTGAAGGGGGACATCCCGGGAAGGGAGCGGACTACAACTCCCATCCGGCTCCGGGGCCGCGGGCGTCCCGAGCCCCTCTCCCTG